ACATCTGGTGAAAATTTCATGTCATTAGCACCTCTAGTAATATATTTACTGAGAAAAATGGTGACGTGTTCAGTACTTATTTTACCTGCTGTATTTCAGTTTACCAGCCACAATTGCTGTCTTTTCCTTAAAAAAATATTGATGCAGTGAGGTTGAACAAAAACATTTGGCACCTTGATTTTTATGGGGCAGGTTTGAATTAAAATAAGTATAAAAAACAGATTAAGCAAAATGTCAGGGCAGGAGCAGGGAAAATGGGGGAACAAAAAGCAAATGTTAGCTGGAGACGTGGCATTTGTTTACTCAATTTTCCATTAGCTTTCAACGAGGACAGGTCTACAGCAAGTCATTAGTTTTCATCTGCTATTATGGGATCAGCATTGTAAGCTTGTGGGTGTAAGGAGTGACATTTCCCATCTTCATGGTCAGTCTTTCATGTAAAARCACAACGCTTTCACATTGAATAAATAAATAGGTTTATATAAGGCTCCCCTGCTTTTGTTTTTGGACTCAGCAGAAGCCATAGAATCTGTGAGCAGCTTGACGGGCCGAAGGTGAAAAATTGCTTTCAAACCCAAATCCTTATTTAAACCAAAAACAAAGAAACCAAAAGATATAACTGCTATTTCCTACCATAAGGTGGGTTCTTACTGAGCTCATGAACTGCAAAGGTTTAACTGTCACTCAGACTGCAGTGGGTGATGTTTTGGAAACCATGACATTGTGTCTGCTTAACTAAAACCACAGCATCAGAGTGAGAAATCTGACTGCTCTAATAAAACAATGTGTAAATCCCACAGCCTTTTCAGGAAAATGGATAAAAAAGGAAATACTAAAAACAGATGTAAAGATTTCTGCCCATATATTTTTCCCCTTTGCTTATCTTCTGTTCTGTGGCTAATCTGTTTATTTTTTATCCATGTACTTAACTCTCTGAAAGCCCCTGTATTGTTCCCCATTCGTGCCTGTAGTCGGCCTGCGTCACACACTCATCTAGCCTCAGGAACCGTCCATGTTCCAAACAGGAAGSCTGAATAAATGAAGATAAAATTTGTTCTATACTCTCTCAGGCCTGCATCCTGATTAGACAGTCAAGAAACTTCACATGTTGTGGTGAGCCATGTGCTAATGTTAGGATTGACATTCATAAATGATATTAAAAAATTGCTTAGGCACACGGTTTCCTCCAAAACATTTGCAACACTGTTGCTACAAAAAAAAGCAATAAAAGCAACAAACTATTGATTTGTGTTTCCTCAGCTGTAGTCCAGTTTTCTGACACATGCAGCTTTGGGTTCACACCAACACAAATGCTGCGGCAATCCATCACCTACAATGTTTGTTAGCTTCATGAGCGGTATGCAGTTTGCAACAATTACTGGGAACTTTCTTTCATAAATATTTGATCATGCTGACAAGAGTAGAACAAGAGCTGTAGGACCAC